GGATATAGTATAAAGGTACTTTAATAATAATTATTATTATTAAAAGCAAACAACTCCACAGATCAATGGCTCTTTTAAAACATGTTTTTTAATCTCTGTTTCAGATGTATGGTTATTGTCCATCTGGAAAGGCCCCAAAGTGATAGCCAGAAATCTGCCACTGCCACCCCTTCTGCTGTTCCTGCCATCATATTTAATTGTGTTTGCTCAACTCAAAGCCAAACTCATATGCAGTATATTTAGATGGTTAAAATAGCATTGCATTCCACTGTATTCATAGATTATTTTCAACACTACAATTCTTGGAAATTAGTCTGGAATAAATAAGGTAAAGAGAAAAGAAGCAACATAAATTTGTTACAGTGACAAAAAAAAAAACACACACAAAAACTATCAAAATGGCAATCTGGAGATTCGCCATGAATGAAACAATATAAATATAGAGTGTTCCTTTTGGTGTACTCTCCTGCAAATGCAATCACTGTCTCATTCGCCAGGTCTGGATTTATTTTAAAGTGAATGAAAAAGAAAGCAAGAAACTAATAGTAAGAAACTGTGAAAAGTACCTTTGTAATTTCAAAAGATCAATGCACAATCTTATACGACATTAAAGGTAAAAGTGTAGAACTGATATCTATGTTTATTTTCTGAACCTCTAAGGAGCCTTTTTTTTCCGCAATGGCAAACTTTCTAAGTTGAAAAGCATATATCATTAAAATACATTCAGAATCTCTTTTCTGAGGTCTCAGCTACTGCATATTTCCTTAAAAGGCTTGAAAAATCGCAAATTTACAAAGGCTTGGATACTTTTGTCCGCTAACTCCACCTTAAATTTTTCAACTTGCATTCTTAATTTCATTTAACAAATACTAACCCTGTCACCCAAATGTCAAAGGAGTTCTGATTCATAGAGTAAAGAATAGACTTTGTTGCTGAAGAGGTAATGGCTTGAATTGGATCAATGAATTAAAAATAAAGACCAATATTCTGTGCTTTTAATCTGAGCCAAACTTTACATAATAATAAAAACAGGCATTTTAAACATGCATAGCTTAATTAACCTGATTTTCATCCAAATTTGGAAAATGAACGGAATGAATATGCATGTGGATAATTTTTTACTTGAGATTTCCAGAGTGTACTTCTGGTACTTCCATGACTATTGATCATTTAGAGAATCACATTTATCTTTTTCTTAAGCTTGATTAACAAAATCAAATAAATTTCATGTATATTAACAGTAAGTTAATATATATTGGGAACAATAATATATATTGCATTGTGTGTTCACCAACCAGAGTTAGATTTCCTTCTGTCACTAAATATTTGACCTCTTTTGCCTCTATCTCCCCCGAAAATTACATTTAGGGAAAGGACACTGTGTGCTCATCTGTCAGGAACTTTTTCTCTGCATTCTTTTTCCTCATTTGTTTATTGATTAACTCAACGAATTTTACTCAGAGCCTATTATATGCCCAAGAGTTGTTCTAGGTACTGAAGATAGAATAATAACCCGGGCAAGGTGCTATTCTCGTGGAGTTTATAATCTACCCTGAAGGGGCAGGATTCAGAGACAATAATCAAACAGAAACTAAAATCTCAGATAGTGATAATTCAATTAAGAAAGCACAGTAGAGTAAAATGCTATAGTGACTTGGAGGGTAACTTTAGATGAATGATAAGGAAAGGCATTTCTGAGGAGGTAACGTGTGCCCCAGATGGACAAGATGGCACCAGCCATGTGAAGAGCAGAAGGAACTACAATTACAAAGACCCGAAATGGGAAAGAGCTTGGAGAATCCAAAGAGCAGAAAGAAGGCAATGAACTTAAAACATAGTGAATTGGAGGGAAATGGTTTGAGATGAGGCCTGATAGTAAGAAGAGGGTGTATCCCTTCCAAGGATTCAGGCAGCCACTTCAAGATTTGTTCTACTTTTGAAGTCAGCACAGAACCAGCTTGTGGAACAAAGGCCAATATTGTCTCAGATACAGATATTGTTGGCAACAGGAATCTCCTCTTTCATGTGTCTGAACTGTTCAGGTGCTTGTCTCTTGAGTCTGTCTCCTGGGTGGTTCACCTGGCTTTTAGATCCTCTCCTTGCTGATTTCCTCACTGTCTTCCGGATCTGTGGGGCTGCTGCCTGGTGTCTGATCTGATTCTTGTTTTGACCCTCATTATTGGTTTAGGCCTGGAGTCTACGTAACCTTGGTATACTAACCTCAGGTGTAACCTGACTGCTCCATCCCCCACCTCCAACTTTCTACTAACTTTGACCTTTACTGCTCCTTACCTTACCAGATAGATACTGAAGTTGCTACATGCTTGCTAGTGCTACTACTTCTCTAAGTATGTATTGTATTTTCAACTTTCAAAAATACTTCAACATGCTTTAATACTCTCGACTGTGTCAACAATCTCCATAAAGTAGATATATAATTATCATTATTTAATTTTAAAGGTGAGAAAATCCAAAGTCAAATTGTTCAGATAACTTTCCTACAGTAAACTCACAAGACTGGCCTGAGAACCCAAGAATCCTGGTTTCCCATCTCCAATCTGTTTAAGGGGTGAGGAAAATCTGGTTTACTCCAGAAATTGGGGTCTTGAGAGAGTAAGTCCACAGATGGCTTGCTTATTATATTGAATTTGAAGATCAGATGCAAAAGAATTTATGAGATAAATACAAAGGATTCCCTTTTCCTCAACTTTTTTTCATTTTTGCATATTCGAGTTTACTTTTCTTCATAATCTTATGTCCTCAGAAAACATTTGCAGCCCTATATGAACACTAGACCACAATGCAGCTATTAGCATATATTACCAATTAAAGAGAGAAAAAAGAGAACGAGTTGTTTAATTGCCAAGTATGTTCGGTTGAGCTTCTTCGGGTTTTCTTCTTTAGCTCTGCCCACCCCCAAAGGTCACAGTTGTACGTAAGAAATTATCACTTTGTGGATATCGGATGGCACATAAAACTCTCATTCTAAAAGTTCAATGTTCTGAGGTCTCATTTTCAAATAAGCATTATTAGATAACCATGTTGTCAAAAATTCAATGTGCTATTTTTAAAAAATCAGCATTTTTAGATAAGTCCAAACAAGAGTCTCTTAGAGAAAAATCCAGAAACAATTTTCTTAACAGTTCAATATTAATCAAGCCTCATAAATATCATCATGAAAATAAATGGGAAAGTGCTAAAAGGAATGAAAAACTCTCAGGTGGCTTTCATCCTTCTAAAGCAGATCAGTTATGTTCCTTGTGGTATGTGGTAGTTTGGAGAAGGATGCTTTTCATATCATTTTTTAAAAATCTAAGGCTCTTATTAAGATGAGATCTTAGCTGTTTCTATTAAAAATTCATGACCTTTTCCCAAGAGAACGGTTTTGACCTGTTACTTCTTTTGACCTGTTACTAAATTTGTGGGAGTTTTTTCCCCACTCACTCCTGAACATAGTATCTCAGGAAAATAGACTTTAATAGCTATTGACCTAATTAAAGTATATTTAAAGTTGTTAAACACAAATAACGATATGTTATTTTGGTGAAAACACAAATTCACTTAAAAGTCAATAATATTCGGAGCAAATGCATTAAGTTTTAAAGGATGTACCCTAGAGTACCATTTGGTGGATTGAAAACAGCAATTCGCAGATGAAGAAAACTTAGTAAAATATGATACAGTTAATCTACATAAACCCCAAACTTTCCATATAGCAAGAAACAAATGACTTACCTTTCCTAGTTTACTTCCAGATATACATTGATATTTATGTAAACATGTAACCAAGGGTTCCACATGAGACCTGGCCTCTCCTCCACCACCTCCACCTCCTACCTCTCCAAGTAACTTTGGAACAGGACAGGAGAACCTCTGGGGGCCTAATGTATGAATAAGATGCATTCTAGGCTTCTGCCTGCCACATAGTAAGTTTGCTGAGAGAAGGCACTATCCTTGATGGGGAAGCTTCTGAATTATTCAGTTTTGTCCATGACAGTTGGGTGAACTTCATTCAGGGGTAAAATATTAGAAATACCATTATGACCACACATCTAAGCTACAGCTGTTATTGGCAATAAAGCTGTCTTTTTTTTTGAACATCTGTCTAGGAAATACTGGAATCTCTCTCTCTCTCAAGATATTTTCCTATGTGCATCCAGATTTCTCAAGGATAATTTGACAATTCTACTATGCCATTATCATTATCGTCTTTCAGCAAAAACGATACTTAATATTTTTTCAAAAAGATATAGAAATACATTCTACATCACAAAGATTATACAGAAGATACTTTTTGTACATAAATATAAGCAATAGATATTTGAACAATAAAAGGAGCTCATACATATATCTTATGTGAAAATATGATATGTAATAGAGAAATCCAATTCATACTTTTCACTGGAGACTTTAAAGGTATTTAAAAAATGGTAATTGATCTAAAATATAAACAAAATATTTATACTTTTGTGCAAAATAAACTGTATGTGTAGATGCCTAGTCTGAGATCACATTTTATTGGGTTGTCCTGGGATGTATGTGTATGTGTGTCTACATGTGTGTAAAGTAATATGCAACTGAGGCTATAGCAAGACAGTGCCAAAATAACTGGCTGGAAAGGAAAAAATTCAATCATGACAGTTTTACTTATATGTTTCCGCTGATCAGACTAATTGATTTGGCTTGGCTTTTTGTATGCATTCATTAAACTGTTGTAAACAAAGGCATAGAATTATAATGACTCAAGTCAATAACTTTTGGTATATACAATACCAAACTATTATATACTGAGTCAAAATATTTAAAATTCAGATGAAAATCAACTAATTTCATTTCAGAAAAAAAAATGTACTGTCTTTTGCAAATGCTTACTATGTAAAAACAGCATTTGTAAAGTATACTTTATATAATTTCAGATATATATACCTATATATATCCTATATATAAAGGATATACAAATCCTTTTCCCCCAATCAAATTCTCCAAATATTCAATCTTACCTGTTTTTGAGCAGCACACTGAAGGTCGTTTTATCCAGTCCCAGATAATTTGGCAGCAAGTTTGACCAATTCCAGTTCCATTTTGTGATGGCTGACTGTTGATAAATGAGAAGATGCTATTGTTAGTTATTAATCAGAGTTAATATGATCAGTAAATTAAAGCTCCAGCTGTGATAGACTAACTAAGAAGGAGGGGGGTCCAGAACAAGGACTTAGACAGATAACATCAATCATGTCCACAGAAGAAGGTTTTTATTCCAATAAGACAGCAATTAATTTATAAATCCATTTGGGGATGTAGTCATTATTTATAAAAATATAAATCAATTTCTTGAGTCGTTATTCCTCCAAGTACTAATGGCATTTGCCCAACAACTTTCTCTGAGAGGGCAACTTTTTGAAAAGTAAAGCAAAACAATTGGTAACTTAAATTAAATTTAAATTAAATTTACCATTATATACCTGATCTTTTTCATATGTCAGTATATAGTTTTTTAGCACCCAGAAGTTTGATTTAAAAAAAAAACTATGCTACAACTCAAATTATGAGACATTGCTTAATTAGAATGTGATAGTAATGTTATCTTTTTGATTAAGAAAATGCTTTAAAGAGGAAATTATAAGAACTTGTAAATGTAAATAACAAACAATTCTTTTTTTCTCATTTAATTGATAATTTCACAATAGTAAGGAAAAAAATTACTGTGAAAGATAATCTCATATTTCAGAACTGCATAAAATAAGCCATTTATTTAAATGAAGTGAGGATAATTTAACAGCTACAATGATTATTTATGGTTTGGAGCAAACTAATGTATAACTCGGGAATGTAGCCAATAAACTCAAACTCATACAATATATTTGATTTTAAAGTATTATAGATGCTTATACTCCTTAAACTAAATAATTTTGATAATAAGAGTCCAGGCTGATGTTTAAAATCCAACAAGAACTATGCCCTGTCACCTGCTGATTAATGGAGCACCACAATCCTGTCATAGAGCAGGAGAATTCTGCCCCGGGTTGTCAGCATTTGAAGGTCTTATTCTACTACAGTATTGATGAATGTAGACCTGGGCTGTAACAGGCATGGTAAAAATATTATCTGCATCCCGAATTAGGCCACTGTTTTAATTCTTATTTTCATCAGAGCTCTAGGTCAAGCAATCCTTCTCTTCTGCCCTGTTAGATCAAATAGTCTGTCAAGAGGCTTCTCAGAAAAGCCATCGAAAGAATGAATAAAGCAAAAGCAACTTTAGATTTCTAGTACTTTGGCATAAAGATAATGTTTTTAATATAACTACTGAAACATTCAGCTTAAACAATGGCATAATCTGACATTTAAAAATATGTGGTGTTTATCATATTGACTTTATTCTAACCATCCTGACTTTTAAGATCATTAGCAAATTTATTTTAAATTCAGACATGTGTTTAGGGTTATAAAGAAGCAAATTTACCTTTTGCTGCTTAAAATAGAAGCACAATGCTCCATTTACAATTAATTTTAAACTATTTTATAATTTACCTGATAAATTTGATAAATTCCTAACGATTCCAAGGCGCTTCGTGAGTGTAGGTATTAGGGGAGGGAAGGGATGGGGAGACTGTTACAAAATGCCTGGATTTTCGGGCCTTCTACAAACACAGCCAAACGGATGTTTCCTCTGCCCACAGTGAACTGACCTGGTCAGAAGCTATATTTTACAGACCAAACATATGAATCAGTTTGATAAATAGAAAGATGGTAAAATAACTTTTTCAAAGTCAGTTTGTGCAGACCATGCAAATAAATACAAGGCTTCTTGCTTCCTGGTGAAAATGCTTATAAGTAAATATTCAAATACAAACCAATTTTTTTTTTTACTAGTGTAAAGAAACCACACAATTTAAATTAAATTTACCATTACATACCCGATCTAGCATGTTTTCACTAAACGCCCTGTACACATGAAAAGGGTTAAAGGCAGAAGGCTGATCCTCCACACTCCTCAAGGTTGTTTTTAAAGGTTGGATGGATAATGGCTTTTCCTCTGAACCATTCATGGAAAACAGCTGTTCTTTTAAATATTCCTTCAAGGGAAAAAGAAATTACAAGTCGTCGTGGTGGGAAACATATATTCTTTTCAAAAATAAACTGATCAATATCCAAATCTACCCTTTCAGCACATTTGCTAGATCACAATGTATTACTTGCCTCCAGACAGAATACATTTTCAGAAGAAACATAGCAGAGTACCAATCAGCTTTGCAATAAACCCATCAAAAACAGTTTCACCTAATATATAGGATAGATTAGAAAAGCATTTAACAAATTGTCACATAAGGAATGTATGCTCGATATATCAGAATCTTTTAAACAGGCATTGTTTTGTCATTAGTTCATGTGTTAACACGTCTGGTTACCAAAACTTAACTCAGGTGCATGATTACTCACAGTACAAGACTGCTTATTCATTTATTAAGTGTACTTGCTACCTACTCCATTCTCAGCAGCAGAGCACTAAAGACTCTGATAAAATAAAATAATATAAATGTTCTCCTAATTTTTAACATGTCACAATATTATAAGCAGCCTCACTCTATGTAGAATTAATTATAATGCAAGCCCTTAAACTATTTCCATGCTGTGGCCTGAAAAATGTCAAAGTATAATAAAAGCTCAAAATATAGAATTCTAATCGCCCAACTGCCAGTAATAGGCTAGGCAAAAAAGTCAACCTACTCATTATACCTCATTTTCCATCCATAAGTAAATAAGGTGAATAATCTTAATCTATTTTATAGGACTCTTTCTGGAAAACAACAAAAATGACTAAAAGTTTCTCACTATCATATCAAATGCTTATTGTTAATAAGCAAGTCACTTAATAAATAAAATAATATAAATGTTCTAATTTTTGACATGTCACAATATAATTTTTTTCTTCAGGGTTAGGATTAAGACTAAGTTCACAATATTAGAGCTGAAAAGGACTTCCGAAGTTTTCTAGAAAACCCTTGTTACTCTAAATCTGATATGCAGATCAGCCTCATCAGCCTCACCTGGGAGCTTGTTAGACAAACAGCATCTCAGACCCCACAAATTCAAAATCTGACCGTTATGATTACCTAGGAGATTGGTAGGCATATGAAAGTTTGGGAAACTTTAGCTCACACCATGTCCAATGGTTGGCTCTGTAAGGTCAGGGGACAAGCCTGAGGTCACTCAGGGATGAGGAGTACAGTTGGGCAAGAAGCCACAAGTCTAGTCTCGGATAACTGTGCTTTTTGCCCCTGTGCCTCTATAACTTCACGAATAGAGAATGACCACTGTATTCACTGTGAAAGGCAAATTTCAGATCCCCAAACCCTAAAATTCTAAAGAAACCACTACTTAACAATGACAGTCATTTCTTAAACTTGCTCATTGGATCACATCTCTTTTTAAAAATCAATTCTGTAGTATCTGACACACACACAGGTTCTTAATATTAGATAATGACAAAACTGTCAGAAAACAATTGTATTTCTAGATTTAGATTTCTTAAAAGAAATAAAATTTTCTCTATTACGATTTCTGAAAGTAAAAATTTAAAAAAGGAATAAAATGCTCTCCTTTCATTAGAAAAACTGCTTTGTTTTGGCTAATAATCTTTCCTATCACCTGACCATATTTGAGCTGTTTTCATTTATACAATTCAAAATAAAGTGCTCTGTTGCAAGCTGTGAACACAGCGGTGTTTTCTTCCTTATTAATTTCTCCGACCCCTCTGCTATATTGACACCTGTCATTACCTCTTCTTAAAAGTCTCAGATTTTCTGTGACATTGCTTTAACCAGATTTACTGCTAATCTGCTATATTTCTTTAAAAGAAATGTACTCTGTGAAAATCCTTTCTTGAATGCCTTCCTTGTGCAGTTACATCAAAGCTTATTTCTCTACCCATTGTTTCTCCACTTCTCTCCACCGAAGAGCTCCACTGGTCTCATGACTTCAACTACCATACTGTGCTCATGGCCAGGATCTTCGATGATCAATAAGGCTTTTACACTCATTCATCTTACCTTTATCTCAAAGATAAACATTTTAAAACTCGTTTTCTCTCATAACTTTGCTATCTCTCAACGACACACCTATTCTTCCCCTCACCCAGGCCTATACCTATAAATGCTTCTGTATTTATATTACTTTTTCAAATATTTAGTAGCATACCTGAATATGCCAAAGACTCATAAGGCTACTCATAAAATGAAAAAACATCACAATGCAAATTCACCTACAACATAAGAATACCTCACAGTATAAAAACAACCATAAGTATTATACTAGTCACTTAATCACCTTTGCGTTGTTATTTGGGTTTACTGCCTGCATTGTTTTAGTAGTCACAAGGCAATGTTCTCACTACTTTCTTTGGTTCTAGCCTCACATTTTTCCTCTTACCTTGGGGCACTGTGTCTCACTGAGCACAAGAGACAACCAAGTACTTAGCTCAACATCCCATCTGATAGACATTGCCATAACAGTAAGTATGTTTGGTTGTAATGAAATCATACTGCTGAACTTAATTGATCAAAATGTAGTGGTGCCCCAGAAAGGAATCTTACTGCATTAGATCTCAAAATATACGTGTTCAGAATAATGGCCTCAGAGTTCCATGAGTTCAACGAGGGGAAAATAGCCTTTGGATCTCCTGAATATCCAACTTAATTTTTGTTGATTTTGCTTATTGGTGATTATTGATCTTTTTTGTTATGGAGCTTTTAAAAAGAGGACTAGTCTGTCAGAATGGCAATCTAGACTAGCCATTGCTATTCTCAAAACTATAGTAATGTCATTTTACTACAGATCTGAGTGAACCCTACTGCAACATCTGTTTTTCAGTAATCACCAGTTATTTTGGCCAATTTGGTGGCCAGGTGGACACACCAATAAAGACCTTCACAGTTAGTCAAGGCCAGGAACTGGAGTTTCCGAGTTCCCCAAACAAGCTTTAAGGGATTATTAGCAAGAGCGAATAGGTTGTTTTACTTTATAACAAGTATATACTGAGCTCTAGTCCCTGAGGTGATCCTTCTCAGGTGATCACTGAATGCACTATTGTTACATCACCTGTTTATTGACTAGTTGATTAGTTCTTGGAAAGCTAGGTAGCAAGATTTACTTGAAGTAACTTTCAGGTAGATAATAACAGGAAGAACATTTATATTACCCAGCTGTAAAATGTTGTGACAGAATTTAATTCACTCCTTGGAAATTTACGATTTTTAAGGCCTACCTCATTGAGATAAAACACTACATCTTCACATTATTCATGTTATACAATTTTTACTATTCCAAAAAATACATTCATGTGTTTGCAAATACAACCATAATTTTATTCACATTAGATGTCATATTCTAATTCAGATACATATGTTCAAATTAAAAATCTGATTACTGAGCAAACTCGTATTGGTTTAAGTAGACAACAGAGTCTTGCTCTTTACATTTTTGCTAAAACAGCCAGAAACAGGCAAGGTCGGAGGCTTAACCCAGCTGAAAGGTGGACAAGCATGACATTGGTTCTAACCAGTGTCTGTGCATTAATGCATTTTTTCTGGGGTTAAGCTATTTGCTCCCTAAAATGGTTCAATATTCTTCTGAAGTTTTCTCATTATGTAAGAAATTTCCAACTTTACCAACACAAATATGATGTCTATAGAAGAGGAACAGCTCTCTTTAGAAAATTCTTCATTTCACAAACACTAGATTTTTAACATCAGCCTAACAGTCACAAATGCACAATTCGAAACTATACCTCTAGTCTATAGGATTCAGAGCTGAACTGAGTTTATGAGCCGTGTTATTGTTTAAACCGTATAAATAAAACTTACATTCTTTCGGTGAAGCTTCTGCTGTACAAATGCAGAACAGCCGGGGCTGAATAGATTCTATTAATAATGTAATATTGAGTTTGGTATTGACTTTAAGAAGTATTATCACCTCCTTGACTAACCCTTAGCTGCCAGCAGACGCTGCCTCAGGCCAGTACACACCTAATTGCTCGGTAAAAAGGCCGTTTCCCTACCTCATTGAGCCGCATGATGTGATAAATTTGCCTCAGGTACTCGCTGCCACCTGGTCTGTGGCAGATATCCAGGACCATCATGTTTATTTTCTGCTCAGTCAGTTCAAGAGCAATATCTCCTTCTTCTAAGGCTGTGCTTTTCTGTATTGCCATAAACGTACTAAATATAAAGCAAGCATATACATATCAGTGATGAAGAATTGTAAAGATGGAAAATAATCAAAGAGATTGAGTGTGGAGAGTCGATGTAAGTCTCATATTCAAAGCACCCATAAAGACTTTGCTCAAATAGGTAAGCCTTCCCAAACCGCTGCTGCTCGTATAAACAGTTCCTTAGAACTAAGCACCTGAAAGCATTTTAAAAAGTGAATCATTTCTTTTAAAACATTTCTTTATTGCATTTATACTCCTATCTATAAAACATTTTCCCATTACTGCAATTGTTGAAATTGCTATAATCATGGGATGAAAACAAAACATTTCTTTTTAAGAACATGTAGGAAATAATTTGTATTTTCTCTTTGAGGATAAAAAGTATCTTCAATGCCAGAAATAGCTTTGGTAGTCTGTCTTTTGTAGATTCCTCTTTACACCTGTCTTAGAACACATTAAAGACTAATTAAAGTGTCAAAAGGGGGAGACTGTTATGCTAAATATAGGTCGGGTGTTTCCTGGCAGTGTGCTTACCACTGGGTATTTTAAATTGGCCTTTTGACACTTGTTGCCTTTTAAAAATATTTTCCTGTTTCTTCTCCATAACAGATACTTAGCAAAAGTCACTATTATTCTTCTGGGAAAAAGGTTTATTATCACTACACCAGGAATGTGCAACTTATATTTGTGAAACATTTCTTTTCTAAGAACTCACATGCTTACTGATTTTAAACATTATTTACATAGTAATAATGGATGGCATATTTTTTAAATTCCTAAACTATACCAGTACAAAATAAATCATGATAGTCAACTTACATCATATATATTCCACACTAATTTTCTAATTGCAATTGATCATGTTAGGCTTTGCAATCTAAGAATACTAAGAAAAAGCATGGTTTTCCACTGTTTCCCAGACTAAATGAAATTTACTGTGGTGTAATCAGCTATATACTGCAGTTCATTACTGAGATTTTGCCATGATTATAAAATTAGTTCTGCTAAGAGTCAGTGCCGCTGACCTGAAGACTGAACCAAATGATACCCAGCTGCTGGGCATTAACTTTTATATTGCTTCCACATGTAGCTTCAAACGCCCTTCTTTAAAAAAAATAAAATTAAAACTTTATGATCATATAAGCTGGCTAAAAAAGCAAAGCAAATCCTACTTTTAGACATTTTTATTAGCTAGAGTAAATCTTTAAACAAACAATCAAAAAGACCTTGTTTCATTAAAAGAAGTTTGTAAATATCTTGAAGCTGCATATAGGCTGCAAGCAAAATTTCCTGTCAGGTTTTGTAGAGGCTGACATTGAAAAAGTTGAGACCCTCTGACAAAGGAGTGCCTCAGTGTCAGCCCCCGAATTGTATCCTTTCCTGTCCATCACTGTGCAGGTGAAGCAAATGATTGGATTCAGTCAATGCTATGATTAATGAGTTCCTCTCTGGATTTGGGACTGCCTATCAATCATGTCATTAGGGAGAATGTGCCCTGAAAGAGGCAGACCTTAGCCAAGGAATAACTGCATTAATCTTAATCTGTATATGCACCCAGCCAGCCAAGTCAGGGTCACCATGATGAAAAACAATAATCTTCAACTCGACAAATTACTTTGCAAAGACAGACATTTCTTTACTTTTTAGGCTGTGTGTTCTCCAGAATCTAAGTTGACTGTTTACAGCTTGAGAGTTACTACAAAGTGAAGGTTATTTTAATGAATAGTAATACTTTCAGGCAGTATGCAAGACAAGCAAGCTTACAGCTGCCACCTTTCCACTGCAGTTATTTTTACAATTTCCATAAAATCAAAGTTAAATCTGGATGCAAGTGAAAGAAATCTAGCTAAATGATATTGTATAGCTCCAAGATAATCTTCATGGAAAATTAAGATTTCATTTATCTTAACAGAAGCAGCATTTAGTTTAAATGCTTACATTCTTATACTTAAAAAAAAAAAAAGATGGTAAAGCCAAGGCAACCCTCCACCTATATACAGATATTCTGGTTTTAAATATATTTTCTTTATGGTATGGTAGAGATCTATGAAATAAATGATCATTTATTTATGAGACATATGTAAAGGTGGACGTTTAGTTGTATGTCAAATAATCGACTTGAACTCAAAGTCAAGAAACATTCTTATAGCACTCAAATCCTGGAAGAAATTATCTAAAGTGAGTTTGTAAGTCAAATTTAACTCTTTCCAATAAATAGAATAAATAACTTTAAATCTGCATTTTCATGAGAAATTAAGACATAGCATTGTGCTAATTACATAATTACGTACTATATATTCAGAATCTTTGAGGGCTGTAAAACATTTTTAAATATCAGCAATTCTCCATTTTGGATGCATATTGCAGCAGATCGCTAATCAACCAAATATCAGCTAGGCAACTCTATTCATAGGAGATACTAGATGTGTTGGTGCTGTTTATAAAACAACAACAACAACAACTTAAACTAAAATCGACTTTTAAGGAACAATTTTACTTATGGATTCCTATATAGAGCCCTAGATGTACAGCTGAGACATACTTTAAACTGATCTTATTGCGAAAGGGGCTCCCAAATCAGCAGTACCATAAATCTAACTGTGTAACTATAGTCAGTTCCGCTATTTTTACTCTTCTTCTTTTCTCTCCCTTTTATAACCACTGGCATGGATAATGACAATCTGGCCTTAATCTTTTAGTCATTGGATTAGAGCCTGTAAATTGGTATCGAATGCAAATGTAAAGATTAAGAGAGTCACTGTCGATGTTACTAAGCTTTTGCCTGACTGCTATTGTTATTCCTACCATCCAGACATCCCAGAAGTAAATGTCTAGAAATCAGTATGACAAGAGCACAAAAATCATGATTACTGACATCTCCCCATTTGGACTAACATAAAGTCTTACATATTAATATAAACCAGTAAAGAGTATTCGTTCTAATACTAACCAGTGAGTTCAGTGTCTTTTAACAGAGTTTATAAATAACAAATGCTTACTAGTTCTAGGTTTGATGCTAAGAACTATGAATGTTATTTAATTTTTCAAAACAACTCTATCAGGTTGGTGTCATCCCTGAAAATGAGGCTTTGAGAGATTTGAGACAACTTACACAAGATGGCCCACTTACAAGGGATTTGTATTTGCCCATCTGATTCCAAAGCCTGAGCTTTATCACTACCATGTACTAGGAAAATTAACAACCTGTAGTCATTTCAGGCAGAAAGTTATAATAGTATCTGCTAGCAACTTGAGTATATTTTAAAAGAATGGGGGGCAATGTGTGTGAGTGGTGAAAAAAAAAAGGCCGGTTTGGTGATCTGTAGACCACATGAACTGTAATTCCTTTATCCATATCATGCAATTCTATACTGAAGACTAATTTTAAGACAGGAGGACTCTATGTACATATTTAAATTCATCAGGGACCCTTAAAAAATCTCTGCAATACCACAAATCACTTAGCTCTTGGTGACAAAGCTATGAGAAGGCTGACATTTTCATAAAGAAACAGCTGGGTGTGTTTATAGCTCGAGTGTGATATGCCCCAGTTGCCCTCTGGGATTCTTACATTACCAGATGAAAAATGTGTACCTTTTTGACAATCAGGTACACAGAAAGCAATAAAAAGCCTTTTATATCCATTAATTCCTTCTTAATTTAATCTCCATGCCCAATCCATTTATGGAATGCTCCAGGCTATCCACTAGATACCTGTTTGCACACTGAAAAGGAGTGAAACCAAATTCTCCTGGGTTTAACTACTACCCTTTTAATCAGAAACCTTAAGATGGTGACAAAACAAGTATAATGTTCCAGCATATCAATGGGGTTCAAATTTTAATAAGACAAGGAATGTCTAACAATCCAGTTTTTAATGGAATATTTATCTTTTTTTCGATAGTCATCAAAGTTCCCATGAAGTTACCAAAATGACCACTGCTGGCTATCTCACAGTATTTTGCTGTTGTTGTTTATTGGAGATGTTATTGTGAATGTATTTGATGAAATTTAGTGAAAAAAACTGCTTTACCATTCAGTGCTCAATTTCCTTGCTTTCAGTAATTGGCATTCAATCCAGTTGGGTCTCTGCTGCTCAATGCTCTGTATGACCTTTTGGGTCATTTGATTAGGGCTACTTGTCTGCTCTCCCATGATGCTTTCCAAACACTCACAGATTAAACCAAGTTTCTCTTTACTCCATCTGTCAAGGGAGGCACCTGTTAAAAGTTCCACAGTGTTTCCATCCTCAAATATCCGACATATAATTACAATCAAGTTCCAGACAAGCAGGCTAGCTTTCTTCAAGTCAACAAAGTTTTTTGACATTTTTCTCTCAGACAGAAAAAAGAAGTATTTAATTGGGGGAGGCAAACATGCAATCACCGTAGGTAACTTGCTGATTACAATAGATACTGCCTGAGCAGCAAGCCTTGTGAAGCCTGAGGGGAAAAAGAGAAAGAAAAGGTATGATTAATATTAGCATTTATGTTCCATCGTTGTGTTGAGTGTTGTGTGGGCATGTCTAATTTTTGTGGAGAAATCTGTTGAGAAGAGCAAGTGCTTGACATATTCCTACAGAACTCTGCTGGGATCCCCTGCAGTACTGCCTAAAATTTCCCAAATGTTGAGTTTATTTTTCTCTCCCATATATCAGATTAGAAAATTCAGAATTATTATTTATATTTTTATCTATTAAGACTGCAGGTTTAAAGAGCCCAGATGTCTTCAACTAACAAATGCAAAGACACTGCTGCTGGACCTCTTTGTGGCCTTTACTTCCATCAGCCTTTCTTCTGCTCCTTTGGAATCTATGTCAGAATCATCACAGCTTGTGCCATGACTGGTTTCTCTTCTTTTAGTTCTTAGCCCAAATGTCATCTCCTCATAAAACCTTCCCTCACCATTCCATCTAAAGCAGTTTCTTCACACCCTTCCTATTCCTGCCCAAGTCCCTCCCTGTCATTAGGCCCTATTTTGTTGCTCTTATTATAGCACTTAGCATCACCTGATAATCTTCTCTTTTATTTGTTCATTCTCTGTCACACTCCACTAGACTATAAGCTCCACGAAGCCATTGCTGTATCCCAGCACTTAGTATCTCATATGTAACAGTCATTCAATAAATATTTGTTGAATAAATGAGTTAACATACTGTTTCATGGGTACTTCTATTTCTCTTCTTCACTACTCTTTCAAGGTTGATATTTGCTAAGAAGTCCTTGGCCTATTGACCAATGATTCTATACACTGTCCCTTGCTAGGTGTTATTTCTCTGCAGAATTTACTAATATGCCCTCTCTAAATCAGGGTTTCTCAACTTTGGCACTAATAACATTTTGGGCTTGATACATCTTTGTTGTGAGGAGCTCTCCTGAGCATTGTTGGATGTTTTAGCAGGATCTCTGGCCTACACCCTCCAGACACCAGTAACATTCTCCTCAGTTGTGACAACCAAGCACTGCCAAATGTGTCCCAGGGGCAAAATCTTCTCTGGTTGAGAATCATTTTCTAGATTATTCCAGAATTCTTAGTCTTGGTCTTTCTCCAGGGTAGAAATCCAGGCCTTTTTCCAGGGTACAACTTCAGCTCCCTGCTGGGTATTCCATTCTTCTGCCCTAGTCATCATTAATTCAGTATAACTAAAACCAAATTCATTGTTTTCCTCAAAATATGGCTCGGCCCTCCTTTTAGGGTCTAAATATCTTTACATTCTCACATGGAATGCCCTCTCTCCTCATAGGTCATCCGTATTCTTCAACTCTTGTTTTAAAGTCTTGTCCTCCTATGGATTTATTCAAACATATTATCCATATGACTGTTTTGGTAAGTAGAGCCATAATGTGCCATATTGTATCATCTTTTGTATTATCACCCATTATTGTTTATGTTATATTATTATTTATGTCTTCATGAGTTATTTTTACAACTAGACTAACAGCTCCTTGAGAGCATGGAGAAGAATCTCATTGCTTCTCAAGTATTCCACAAAGCCAGACACAGTGTTTTAATCCACTGTGTACATAAATGAATTTGAAACTTGGAACTAAGTGAGAAATCAAAAGATCATAGCTTTGAGTTCTTCAATAAAATATTCTTTACTCTCGTTACTGAATAAAAATGATAAAACAATGTGAAAGATTTTTCAAGGCATTTGTGACATTTAAAAAGTCACTCTGCTTTAAAAAAGTACAAAGCTCTTGGAAAACATGTCTAGTCTAGTGACTCCTCAGAAATTCATGACAACTTAAGAATCATTTAAAAAATTAACTAGAGTAGTCCTTATAAGTTTGTAAACTGGGTCCAACATATATTTGAATGATGTCATAAGAGTACTGTATTAAATGAAATAATAAACGTGAAAGCACCTGTTTGGTACTTGGTAAAAAATAGTTCCTCAATGAATATTTTCCTTTTATTCAAATGAATATGCTTAGATGAGGCTTAAAACATAGATAAAACAAATTAAGAGACTCCTTTGTGACCACTCTTCTGTGTGTTCTTAAATTATTTTAAATATTTTATATTTTATGTGTCTGGTTCTCATACACCATATTCTACTGTCAGGTATTTGACTTAAAAAATTATACCTTATATTACATTTATCCTAGAGAGGGTTTAACTGCAGATATCAAGTAAACATTTGACAATCAAAGTAGATATCAGGCAAAGATTACCAATTCTCTTCACACCTGCATTTCTGATATTTTATAAAATCTGAGGACTCCAGGTACGAGATCCCCAACTACTTCATTAAAGCTTAAGGCAAATTCCAATCAGAACTTTTACGCTGATGATAAATTAATAAACCCATTCTACTAATCACAGGGGCTCTGAGTCTAAGACGATGTTAACAACACACCAGGGAGGTATATTTTAAGAATGCCACACACTTATTTTTCTGTCTTTAATTAAATAAGCTGACTTCTAGCTAAGCCATATATAGGTAATATATTGTAAGAGCCATCCCAATTTCAAAGCTGATAAAGTGTGAAAAAATGTGTCTTAGAATAAATGCAATGTGATATGTATATTTATCTATTTATTATTTCTTCCTTGCCATTCATGAACTCCTGGCTATAATAATATATTTTGTGAATCATAAAACATGCAAAAGAGAAATTGATAATGAATGAGGTGAAGACAAAATAATGTCTTAAAATTCATTTAAAATTGTGTTTATTAATGATATAAAATGTTAATAATAATTTATTGAGTAAGCATAATGTGATTTAACATGCTTTATTATTTTTTAAAATCTGGGCTTAACACTTTGCAAACAGTAATTCTAAGTTCAGTTTGTTTGAATACTTGGTTTTAATGGCTGTCATAGGGTAAAAGCCACTAAATGAACACACATAGATCCACGCAGAACAAGTATATGAATAACAGTTCTTGTGAAATCATGGCACTTGTTTTTCAATCTTGCCAGCAAATAGGCAAAGGTTGTTGATGACTAATAATTCTTCATCATTTGTGATGTCAATTAGTTATTCTTGCAAACAAATTGAAAAATATTTTGTTTTTATATTTTTAAGAAAAATGTTCAAGAATCACTTAAACTCTTTTTTGGAATATTTGAAGTTATGTTAGAAAATTCTAAATTTTTAAATGTGAGGCTATGATATTTTTATAGGTGGTACTGGCTTTTATAAAAGTAATCTTTCTAGCTTTTGTAAAATAAACTATCTTAATGACTTCCTATAGCACTTTGTGTATTTTTGCCTTCAATTTCTTCCTCAACAATATGTATGTCAATGATGCCATGAATACATTTTCCTTGTGGTGCTATCTCTATTTCCTCTCCAGAATTCAGTTTCAGTTAAAGCAATTACTCCAAAGTTTTCCCATAAAACATTCTTTTTACTTAAAAAGTAATTTACTGTTAAAAAAATATACTCTCTAGTATATCTTTCATTTAATTGTTGTCAAAGAAACAAAACAACTAGTTCTTTGTATATTTGCATTTTGAAATAAGGGAGCCAATACCTAAACTGAGCTAAAGTTCAGTCAGAAACATCTGAACTTGTTTGTTACCCTAGTGTTTTCCATGTTCTGTCATTTTCATTGTGTCAGGAAGCAAATGTTCCCTTTACTGGGAACATTTAAAGAATTCTCAAAAAAAACCTGTTAGAATTCTCAAAATCAAGTTAGAATTCTCCAAAATAACATTTATTGGTCTTTTGATAAATTTTGCAAAGTACTGGATTAAATATGTTTGACTTAAAACATTGCTAGAAACAATTATAGAAGTTTGTCTTCATGTTTTAAAAGTTTGGTTTTGAAATTTTTTGCTAATCAAGATGACTTCAAGCTATCTCTAGCTAATATCTCAGGGCACGATACTCATTTAGGAAGGGTTCATATTTAATGATAATACATACGAAGCCATATTTCAAATGGTTTTACCACACATTTTCTTTTTTTCTTTTTTTTTTCCCCAAATCTGGTCAGATTATTATTGTTTTTCCTTATAATATGGCTGAGAAAGAGCTCATGTTAGGAATAGAAAGAGTGAGCTCTTTCATTTTGTCACTGTTTGCTCTTCCTTGCATTCCTAGTATTAGTTTTAAACTGCAGTTGACCTGTTGATTTATAGGAATATATTAAAGCCACTTGTGTTCTTTATGAGAATTAATTTTGTTAAAAGTAGATTCTGAAATATAAAGGACAACCTTAATTCATTATTGTACACTGAAAGCTAATGAAGATGTAAGATTACCCTGTCCATCTCCTGCCTAATAATATTGTTTCCAACATACAACTGGCTCACTCACAGACCGAAGGAGAAGCCCAGTGACAATCTTCATATGAAACTTTAGTAAAGTTTAATTTCTTTCTTTCTTCACACACCCAAGAATTGTCTTGTACATCCCCTGAGGTGTTTGTATGCATTTCACAATAGTTATACCTATTCTTCTAGCACCAAGAAGAGATATTTTATTTACAGTTTCCCTCTGGTCTCAACCACAGTGCCTGGTAGGTAGTATAATTCATTTAGTAAATACCTACTGAATGAGTAAGTGACTTAATGTCTGGTATGTAAATATTATCTTTCTTGTATACTATAGTGAAAATAAAGGCTGAGCACTGTCACTCTAAAAGAGGGAAGAAATGAAGAACTATGGTAATTCTATTGTCATAGCCACCTGGAATGCACAGAATGCTTTATGAAATCACTTTTCTCTACCACTTTCTTTTATATATTTATGTGATTTGGCACCCCTTCATGGCTGTCTATCGAAGAAGTATCGTACTTAGTGATAATTTTATGAAGAATATTATTTAGTAAGGAAAACTTCAAGAACTTATATCTACAAAGTAAGCATTTTTTTGGAATTGGAGGCTCTTTGAAATGTTATGGAAGAATTCCAAAATGCTTTTAGAAAGCAAAATTGTTCATGAATAGAATGACTTGAAAGCCACAAGGAAAATAGTGCTACTCATATGACACGATATGTTAACTATAGATCATGCCTCTTGAATTGCTCAAAATCTATGAAATATACAAAAGCTAGAATGAAAGAGAGATGGGAACAACTCAGACAAGGAAAAACTTAAGCAGTGAAAAGATGACATTTCCAATTTCAATTAAATGGCTTTACTAGATTTAAAGGAAGTTTAATAGGGCTTGAACAAAATTAAAACATTACTATGAAAGGTCACAGATAGAAAATTGATTTGAGTTTGTAATATAAGGTCACTGGATAAGAGTCACATTATTTAGGATCATCATGGAGAAGAATGAAAGAAAGTCTAGTCCCCTCGGTTAACTTTAGTGGGCTCAGCTGGAATATTTTACTGTTGACAATTTCCTTAGAGTTAGTGAAAAAATATTCTTCTTTAAAGATGAATACAAAAGGGAAAAGTTGATTATAAAAATTTTAAATATTTATGAATATAGACAGATACATAGTATATATTCAAAGGAATCTTGTGAATTTCTCAGAAAGTAGAAACATCTAGATAGGAAGAAATCATTTAAGAAGAGAAGACTTGATTAATAAAATAAATAATGTAGATAACTGATAGTTCTTAAATACATTTGGTAGACACGCTGAATAAGAACAATGCACTGAATTCAGGACCATGGGTATTTGGGGGAAAAACATCTGTCTGGAAAACACAGTTACTAAATAGGGTGCTATTTTTGACCTGAAAGCTACACATATAGGTGTATCAACAAGCGAAAAGAAAGTAATAATTGATGGTTGCAGGGGAAAACTTCAAGGAAAGAATAATTAAACTGAATATCATGCAATTTTCTTGAGAGTATGAATTTTAGATTACTCAATAGATTTAGAGGAAATCAGTCAAAATCATGTGACTAATCTGTGAATACTAACATGAACACAGAATGTCACAGAAAATCCTCAATTGGTAACTAAATAAATAAAATGACCATTCGAGTAATTTTCATTTCTAGATTCTTTGATCATATGACTCTCAGTAAGGAAAATTACAGGTTTCAAATATACATGGTAAAAATAAGACTAATATAGTTTACAAATATTATCACTTTTAGAATTTTACTTGATCTCATATCCTAGAAAATTGCTTCTTGAGGAATATGTTCTTACAGAAAAATAAATATACCTTTGCTTGATTCTTTCTTTTTGGTTTCTTTTGGAATATAATTCCATTCTTTTGGAATGCTCTCAAGCAAATGTTCAGGAACAATGTGCTTATTTAGGTTTGTCTCACAGTTTCTTCCAGAATTCATCACAGATATTATCTCCTGTACAATGTCCTTGACAGCGTCGGTCAATGCCAGTCTCAAGCTTCGGATGAACTCTAGCTCAGACTCCATACATGTTGAGACTTTAAAATTAGACAGTATATTACAGTTAGCAGAATCTTGTAATATTTTGTGCCTTGTTCAATTGGGAATTCAGTTTCTCAGTGATCTAGTTTAAAGCTATAGGAAAAGAGAGCTGTTTTTAACCTAGAAATCATACAATTGATAAACAGTTCATAAATGTTTGAAAAAAAATTTCTTCATCTTGGTAATAAAGGTAATGAAAATTAAAATAATAGTGAATAACAGTATTTTCTGGTAGCTTCGAACTCTTCTGGTGGGAATATAAATTGTGTTACCTTCTTAGATGACAACTTGGCAATAATATCAAAAACTTTAACATTTTACTTACCCGTTAATCCACTTATTCCTTCTCTAGGACTTTATCCTAAGAAATTAATTATGGTTATATAAAAGATATAAAAAAATGGAAATAATTTAAATATCCAGTAATTGGTGAAGTGTTTAATTAGCCAAGGTATATCTATTTACATGGTAAAGCCATATATTGTTTAGTATAAAAATAAAAGCAGGTTAGAAAGAGTATGGCATGCTATTTGTATTTAAAACCACATATCTACATACACATTTAAAAGAAACAAAAGATATACTCTACAACGTCAATGGAGATTTTCCTCTTCCTTTACTTCTTTTCCTTTTTCTTCCTTCTTTCCCTCCCTCTCTCCCTCTACCCTTTTCTCCTTTCTTTCTTTCTGCCATCCTGACTTCTTACTGATTATACATGTTACCACCATGAATATATATTATTTGTGTGGTAAATGCAATAAATTTAAAAAATACAACTGGAAAGGCCTGGGACTATCACTTGAATCAATACAGTAAGGCACCTATATGCTTTTTTCTTTCTCAAATTTTGAGGTGATATTTTTCAAATAACTCAAACCATTATTAAAATGACCATGGTGAAGAGGATCTTGCTAATATCAAATATTGAGATTTTAATTTTTTCACATGGCATAGTCATCACATACGTTGTTGCTCTTTACAGGATGGGTGGAAGACATAGCTGGCTGTCTTTTCAATGATGTTTTAAAACTTTAATTCAGTGAAACACATTAAGAACCCTTCTTCTTGTAGCAATAATTAATATTCATTTTGGTTCAATGCTTTGGAGTCATGGGTTAAAATCATCTCACATATCTAAAAGTTCTAGAAAGCCAGAAATCCCTCTATTTCTGTTAGATAAAAAGATATGTTTATTCACTTTAAAATAAAAACAAAGTATTGAAAATGACAGAGAAAATAATAGATCTATCTCAAAGAATTATTTAAAACTTATATGAATTAATTAATTAATTAATTAATTAACTGGTATGTAGTAAGTGCTCCATATATATTTGCTATTTTTATCTAAGATAAGTTTTCTATAAAAATTACCATTTTACAGTGTAGGGCTGCCCAGTAGTCTCTTGATACAGGGTTCTGAAATATCTCAAGCATTAAATACTATAAGGAGAATTAAGCAATAGCCACAGATGCCTATGGTGGAGTTAAGATACAGATAAATAAAAAGAGAAATGGGAGAGGAGGGAATAGAGAAAAGAGAGTAAGTGGCAAGGCCTTCTCATTTCTAACTCTGCAAATAAAGAGCTTGGAAGCACCACTCTGTTTTAACAACAAATACAAAGCTGAACAGATTTTAAAAAATCAACAACTCTTCTTGGATCGATAAGAGAGGTGAAGACACAAGGCAAATTGGAGGGACAGACAGGCAAATTACATGGAGTCATGGTTTAGTGGAGCAAAGACTCATAAGCAGAAACTACCATGGGAAGCAGTGTCAAGGTGGAAAAATATGAACTGTAATTGATAAATTACTGGAGGCTCAGTGCAAACAAGTCTGAGAGTTCAAACTCCAGAAGGACCCCTGTCATGAGGGAGCTGCCACACTTTTGTGAGTTTTACCTCCAGGAGCTCAACAAGTTTCCCACAATAAATATCAAACAAAAATCCACTAGTGCTTCCAGCCAGGGGAGGGGAAAAGAAACATTCTGAAATAAGCCAGAGCTCTGTTTTATTAAGGCTTACCTATAGGAGAAACTATTAAAACAGAGCCTAACCCACTGGGGTTATCGGAGCCTAACTGTCCTGGGTGAAAGGCAATATCCAGCTGCAGTCCACTCTAGCCATTCTCTCCTACCTAAGTGGCGGGCGGGGGAGGGGGTGGAGCGGAGACTGAAAGACATTTGTGAAGTACACCATCCAGAGGCACAGGCTCACTAAAAAACTGAGACCCAATCATAAGATTGCAGATAGTTTCCCTCCCCCACACCTCTTCACCACATTACTAAAGGTCTATTTTGAGCAATTCCTTTTATACAGTACATCATGTCCAGCTTTCAAGAAAAAAGTATAAGACTTACTAAAAAACAAAAAACACAATTTAAAAAGACAGAGAAAGCATCAGAAACAGATATAGCAAAGCTGTAAGAATTATCAGACCTGGAATTTAAAATAGCTATGATTAATATGCTAAATGCTCTAATGTATAAAATAGACAGCATGCAAGAATAAATCAGTAAGTCCTAGGAAAGAATGCAAAAGAAATACTACAGATCAAAAGTACTGTAACATGGGCTTATTAGTAAACTGGATATGGCTGAGAAAAGAATCTCTGAGCTTGAGCATATCTCAATACAAACCTCCAAAAATAAAAAGCAAAGAGAACAAAGAAAACAAACAAACAAACAAACAAAAAACAGAACAGCATATCCAAGGACTGTGGGACAACTACAAAAAAATATAATATATACATAATAGGAATATAGGAGAAAAGAGAGAGAGAAAAAAACAGAAGAGAAATATTTAAGACAATAATGACAGAATTTCCCCCAAATTAATGTCAAACACAAACCACAGAATCAGGAAGCACTGAGAATACCAAGCAGGATAAATACTTTAAAAAACTATACCTAGGAATATTATTTTCAAACTATAGACAATCAAAGATTAAAAAAATAGTCCTGAAAGAAGTCGTAGGAAAAACGACACTTTGCCTTTAGAGGAACAAAGGAAAGAATTACATCTTACTTCTCAGTAACCATGTGCATAAGAAGAGAGTGAAGTGAAATATTTAAAATGTTGAGAGAAAAAATACCCCACTAGCCTAGAACTATATACTCTGAAAAATGATCCTTTAAAAGTAAAGGAGAAATAAAGACTCTCAGACAAACAAAAATTGAGGGGATTTATTGCCGGTAGAACTGCTTTGTAAGAAATGTTTAAAGAAGTTCATTAAAGAGAAAATAATATAGGTCAGAAATTCAGATCTACATAAAGTAAGGAAGAGCACTGAAGAAAGAATAAGTGAAGGTAAAATGAAAACTTTCATTTTTCTTATTCGTAATTGATCTACCAGATAAGTTTGTTTAAAATAATATCAACAATGTATTCATTTGACTGATATATCTTACATATATGCACATGTACATACTTATGTATGTTTATATATAAGTGAAATGAGTGACAGTAATGATATAAGGAATGGGAAAAAATTAGGATTATTTTGTTATTATAAGGTATTCACAACACCTGTGAAGTGTTATAGTGTTGTTATAAAGTGGACTTGGATGGGTTTCAAACTCTCTATATATGTTGCAAACTCGAGAAATCACTTAAAAAAGTAAAAAAAGAAGTATAACTGACGTGCTTAGAAAACAGAGAATATGGAATCATATAAAATGCGCAATTAAAGCCAAGTAGGGCAGCAGATTGGAAGCCAAAATAAGAATAAACAACAAGGGCAACAAATAAAAAACAATAACAAATATAATAGATATAATAATACAACTATATCGATCATCACTTTGAATGTCAATGGACTAAAATAACCAATGAAAAGACAGAGATTGATCAGCATGGACCAAAGAACAAGATTCAACTATATGTTGTCTACAATAAACCCAATTTAAAGACACATATAGGTTAAAAGTAAATGGATGGAGAAAAGCATATCACACTAACACAAATCAAAAGAAAGCAGGAGTAGTTATATTAATTTCAGACAAAGCGGACTTCAAAGCAAGGAAAGTTATCAGGGATAAAGGAAGGTATTACATAATGATAAATGGGGTCATTTCTCCAAGAGGACATAACAATTGTTAATGTGTATGTGCCAAATAGCTGAGTATCAGACTATGTGAGGCAAAAACTGATAGAACTGCAAGGAAAAATAGATGAATCTACTAACATAGTTGGGGACTTTAGCAGCCCTCTATCAGAAAGAGCTCTAGCAAGTAGAAAATCAATAAGGACATAGTAAAATTCAACAACACCATCAATCAACTGGATATAATTGACATTTAGAGACTATTTCATCCAACAACAGCAGAATACATACTCTTCTCAAGCTCACATTTAACATTCACTAAGATAGATCACATTCTGGGCCATAAAGCACACTTAAATTGAAGAATAAAAATCACACAATGTCTGCTTTGAGTACAAAGGAATTACACTAGAAATCAATAATAGAAATATAACGGGAAAAATTCCAAAACATGGATATTGAAAATATATGATACACTTTTAGATAACACATAGGTAAAAGTAGAAATCGTGAGAGAAATTTAAAAATATTTCGAACTAAAATGAAAATGAAAACACAACTTATCAATAGTTGTGGGATGCAGCAAAAGCAGTGCTTAGAGGGAAATGTATAGCATTGAATGCATACACTAAGAAAGAAGAAAGACCTAAAATCAACAGTCTAAGTTTCCACCTCAGGAAACTAGAAAAATAAGAACAAATTAAATCCAAACGAAGCAGAAGAAAAAAAATGGTAAGAATTAGATCAGAAATCAATGAAACTGAAAACAAGAAATCGATAGGAAAAATCAACAAAACTAAATGTTGGTTTTTCTAAAAGATCAATAAAATCAATAAGCCTCTAGCCAGACTAGAAAGAGAGAGCGAGGATACGAACTACTAATATCAGAAATGAAAGAGAGAACATCACTATAGATCCATGGACATAAAGGAATAAAGGAATACTCTAAATAAC